TGTCGTGGGAGAGCGTGTCGTGGGAGAGCGTGTCGTGGGAGAGCGTGTCGTCAGTTCGTGAAGGAATCACAGACGTTGGTATTGATTGTTCAGTCATGTGAGTGAGTTTTTGACAGTCATTCATGCTAAATCAAATTGAATAGGAGAGCGTGTTTGGCGAGTAAAAATAATTCGCATTCATTTCACAACGTTGCCCAACTTGTTCTTAAACTGGTTTACTTCCTCTAATAAATATGCTTCCGCAAACTAGAAAATGTTCAAAGGATATCAATGTATTTATCTAGCTAGACTTGAAGAAAAGTACACTTTACAAGAAATATTTTTTCATACATGAATTTGTAATTAAAATGTAGTATTTTACGAGTTTAATTGAAAGTGTAATGAAAGTAAATAACGCCAGTTCTTTGAAATCCAATGTTTATGACATCTGCTTATACCCGTTTGATGATTTAATTCGTAATCACACATATTCTCACGTGCTTTCCAACCGATTTGTACCTACTATTACAATATTTTTTAGTGAAGATGTCTAAATAATGTAAATCACTCGTGAGCATTATCCCTAACTTCCAACTAAACGCATTGTACTGATACTCCAAAGCATTAACAGCTGACGCTCCAGCCAAATGGCTGGCGGAAGAACAGATTTCGCAAAACGATGCGGTTTTCGGTGATGTTCAACAGTTTTAGATCTACTCGCCTGAATTGATCACAGAGTTGCGAGGTACATGATTCCTCACGGTTTATTGAAATCTGTTTATAGTAAACCTTTACTTACCGATCGAAGTTCTGAGGGTTGCGCGTGGGGAGAAATTAGACCAAATGGTACTACGAGTATGCATATACGACTACTTTTTCGAGAAGTTTATTTGTTTATTTTATGTATGGAAATATTTCCAGTACTCTCGCAGATTATTATAAAGTTTAAAAATTTCTTATTTCTCACATATAAAAGTGCACCAATTATTGACACAAACTCTCGTAAACGCGGCCGGATATGGATATATCTAAGGTGGTGTACCAAACGTAGTTTTAGACGTAACATTTAGAATTTCATAGATTTCCCTCGAAAGAAACCAACTGGCGGACATACAATTCTCAGCTCTCGTTCGTTCCGTTTTCAAATCGTGCTTAACTAAAAAAGGGGACGTCCTTAAAATCCAATTTTCGTGTTGTTTGATATTTCAAATACAAAAAGAGCCTTTTTGGAGCTTTCTATTAAATTGTGCGAGGTTGAGATCTTCTGGTTAACGTTACCCCTCAACAAGAGCTACAAGAATCGTACAAATCTTGAAATCTGTGTAATTAAATTATTTGATAGTCTGCGCTCAGGACTAGGTCTTTGTTAATAAACGACTAACGATATGTTTTCCCACGCGTAATACTAGATGTAAATGATGGAACACGTAGTTCAGAATCTGATAGTTTGACGTTAATTTCCATATGAGTAATTTTCACCTTCCAAACAATTATATCGAAGTGCAGAAATATTGCTTAGGTTCAAATATTTATGTATTACAATAACACAATCCAATAATTATAAATTAAATTTGAGTGTTGATATCAAAGGCGTTGATATTGTTAATGGTATTGTTAGGAAATCAGAAATTTGCGAGAAAAGAATATTCAGAAATGGCTTTCTTGAGCAGTAGCACTCTGTGACACGTGCACTGAGTTGCTAAATACGAGTCCTCATTACAATGCGTCGAAATGTTGATAAACTGTGAGAATCATCATGTAATCTGCGTTTTGGAACATTTGCTAATAGAGCGTTTTATGCCTCATTTGTACTGAGAAACCACTTTCTGAATTATTGAAAATAATAAAATGAATATTAAATATAATAAAAGAAAATACTTTTAGGAAATGACTTCAACATTTTTGAATTAGTCACCTGCATTAGTGAAATCCTAATTAACTGTTTAAAGTTGTTTGTGCTTTAGAGCATGTGTTTGGTATCCTCTTTGTAACTCTCTTCTTTCCTTCAACGTAAAAGAAAATAATTTCCCATATTTATCTAATTAAAATCGTCCTTAAGCTGCAAGATGATAAATCCACGGCATGGATGTTGATGAAATGGTTAGTGGTTGCGTCATATTTAATTAACATTTTGCCACTGTTACATTATTATTATTATTATTATTATTATTATTATTATTATTATTATTATTATTATTATCGTTATCATTATTATTGTTATCATAATCATTAATATCATTATCATGACCACTATCACCATGTGTTGGAACTCACCACAGAGCGCGGCCAGCGCCACCCAGCAGCGTGTGGACCTGGGCAACATCTTCGTTACTCTGTTTCCTGAAACAAAGAGGCGCACATTACTTACCTTCCCGTTTTCATTACTTCATAAATTCTTTATTTAACCAGTAAACGCATTTGATCTCTCGCTTGTTCGCTTTCTCTTGCTTGTTCTCCCACTCTGTCTGTGTCTGTCTGTCTCTCTCTTTCTATCTCTCTCTCTCAGTCATAAATTAATTTTTCAAATAGGCTTTTTTGATTGATTGATTTGTGATTCCGAACATGCCATTGTATAAGGTCATTTGTCCCGTAAGCATAGTTCATGTTTTCTGCACGGGAGACAAATCAAAACACCCATCTTGAAAACTGGTCTTTATTCACAGATACAAATAGTACTTGTTACTTTATCCCCCGTAATCGTCATTTAATGAGCAGTATAAAAGCAGCATAGGAAGTTAAAAACAATTTATTCAGGAGGATGTACATTCAGAGACACATTGAACAAAATACAAACTCGTAAAATTCGATTAAAATTCGAAGTCACTGTATCCATGTTCGGCTGCGTGACTGTGCGTCAGAGTTCTATCACAGAGAGATAAGAGAAATGCAATCTCCATTCCGCTCCCCGGATCAGCCCATATCATTTCTGCATGTGTCTCTCTCTCCCCCTCTCCCTCCCTCTTCCCCTTCTCTCCCCCCCTTCCCCACTTTTGTAGTAGCGTTGCATGTCGGCCTTGATGGCTGATTAATGGATGGCTCATGGCGCAACGAGATGGCTGAATCGCTGCGCAACCTACCCGGCTTCAGCCAATGTGCTGGATGCACCAGTTGCGCCAATATTAGCGGGAATTTGAAATGCAGCCAGACACCAAAAATATAAACTTCTTACAAGTCATTGAAACACATATATGAAGTATTTTAATTTTTTCTTCTTTTTTATTTAAACTACACCTTCATCGTGTTATATTTGGGTTGTCACCGTGGGAAATTGTTACTTTATTCCACTTTCATAATGTTTCTCAACGCCTGTCGCGTGCCTACAGCATGGGACCAGCGTCTCGGCTGGCTTTTGAAACGACGTGCCGTGATGTGCCGTGATGCCGTGCCGTGGTTCCTGCCGCGACTTCTGCTGATCAAAACGAGCATAAATTGGTGTGCCGGAGCAGCTCACACATGTCTTTACATCGTGTTGTGGCTGCTTCATCAGTTCCTGCGCACGGGTACAAAACTGGTGGGGGTCGGCGGAGTTTTGGGACTCAAAAATCCACGCCAGCCGTGCCGCCATTGTAGCACCCTTGAACGCCACTTAATTATTCTCGGCAACATTAAGTTTGAAAAAAGCGCGGCATCAATGATTGGTATTGTGCTGCTAACCAGGATTGCAGATCACAATTGAGACTGCGAGGGTTCAGCAACCAACCCGAATGCCAAATAAAGGTCCTCAAATCAGCTCTCTGATCGGAAATCGTCGGACAAATGAGTGTACCTGACAATGGTTTCACCGCTGTAATATAATTCGCAGTTATTATTAACATGGCGTTTAGTTCGGGTCTTCTGCCATCCGCTACTCACAGAACTGCTGGAGTAGTCAAAATCATGTGGCATGAACCGTGTGAAGAGGGACAACTGACCATCACCCGGGTTCTCGGGGAGAAAGAGGCGACGGAATGGAGAAGGAAGAATCGAGCCCGGTCCGTGTACTACGCAGTAATGCACTGCTTGGCTTTCGCTCGCTGGTAACCGTGGAAACAATGGATTGTATTACAGATATACTACGTATGTACGTACGTACAGATATATACGTACGTTATCGCTCTTGGACATATCTTCACTATTTCATGATAATTCTTTATCTTCAAATTCTATGTTTACTTTTACTTGTGTAATGAAAAAGAGCAACTGCCCTGCTAGTTCGAGCTCAAAACTTCACCTCTCGGGGCTCGCAACCCCGCCAGATATAGATTACGCGAAGCCATTGGCGTGCATACCCTAAACCAATGTATCCACGTTGCAAGGCGTCAAGGGCCACATTTAAAACCATTAATATGGTTGCGGGCCATATTTTCGTTATTTGGGTGACCTACATCCGCGTTCCTTGTAATGTTGATCTCGCCGGTTTGCCCGGCTGCTGTGAAACGGGAGGAGGTGGCGGTACCATGCGTGTGATATCAGGCCGCATCATGCAGTGAAACACAGTGGAATGATTTTGAATTTATGAATTTACTAGAAAAAAAATCTTTATTCTAAACTTCACCTATTTTGACATTAAAAGGGGTGTTGACCCTGGCAGGACGCGTACTCTAAGCGCATGATGTACCTTTCTCTGGCGACAATAAAAGGCACTGCGGGCCGCATGTGACGGTGACGGTGTGCCGTCAGTTGGGCAACCCTGACCTAAACCGTGACGTAGGCAACTACATTTCTGGGCTCTCTTTGTCAACAAACTAAAGTTTTATTTGGCATATTTTGCTAGTAAGTAATTGTTACATTGTGATTTTGATGACACAATAAATAAATAAAATAAATACAATTCATTTTATGCCAAACCATTTACACGGTTGTCAGATGACTTAAAGAAACTCATCTCAAAATGTGTAAGATTATTTTTACAAATTGTCACGTTAAAAGAGAAAAATCAGGGAATAATAATATATTGTAAATAAATGTGCTTGTATAAAATAGAACAAGGAAAAAGTAAAAATTAATATTACGATTAAGAAAAATAAATTTTAGGTGAGTAGTGCAAAACAAGAATAAAGTAACCAGCTGTTAGTCTGATAAAAGTTAATTTAGGAACGAGGTCTTATATACATAGATTATCTAAATATTGATCTAAATACTGATAAAAACAATTAGAAATTATGAAAAATAATAATCCTTTTGGCTCTCTTCCCGCATTTTCCGGATTAATTTTGTATTGGAAACAAAGTCATATAGTCTCCTCGCTTTCTATTTTTAGAATTCATTTGTATACTTGTTTTTCATTTTCGTTCTGCCAGCTGGTATTAGTATCCGTGGCATGTGACATTCTGCCTACATGAGACCTACTACCGTAGGTTTGATTGGCTAATTAGTGGTTCCGAGTGCGTCAGCTGATAAGGTCATTTGTCTGTAGGAATTATCATTGTTTTTTTCGCGGGAGGTGGCGGTGATCTTCCTCCACTGAATGGCGAGATCTGGCACAGACCTACGTCAGCATGCGAGGATTTTCGCCAACCAGATATCTCCCACCAGCAGAGCCGCGCCACAGCCGGGACAAGCTCTTAGCTCCCGACTGGTCTCCCGGCACGTGTGGTAGTGTAGTGCATGTGAGTGTATGTGTGTAAGGGGCGAGGATAAGACAAGGAAAAGGAAGGAAAGCTCGCGCTCGGTCCGTGGCCCGTTTGTTAGGGTTCTGCTCCGAAACCACCGACAACAACGGACCAGCGCAGCCGGTCGCTAGAATTTTCCTCCAGACAGCAGCTGAATTCAACGTAGCTGACAAGCTAATGTCATTGTCGATACTCAAACTCAGGGACCTCCCGGTCAGAAGCACTGCAGTGACGCTATCGTAGGTATCTGGAAGGTTTCCTGTTCGAGCATCAAAAGACGCACGGGAAAGGGGAATGTTATGGGAAGTGTTTATGGTGCAAAGCAAAAGTGTGGCGGAACTCAACTGCGTTCCGAAAGAAACGGAAAGGAACTAATATTACACCAGTCACGAAGAAGCTACGTCGTCTCTTAAATCGACGTTCTTTTTGGGGGCAAGCAATCAAATAATTTAATCACGCTTCCTAACCCGTTAACATGACAAATATTTGGCATAATGAAATGCGGAATATAATCAAATAAAATCCTTTGGCAATGAAATGTGTAAAATGAACAAACCCAAGTTTCGTGTAGGTTAGTTCCCAGGAGAGGTGGCTCAGAGCATCAACTGATGATACTGCCTCTGACAGGGATGTCGTAGGTTCAAATAACGACGGTACAGGAGTTTCGGCACTAGCTTGTTAGCTGGGTAGAATTCAGTCGTTGTCTGTAGGATAATTCTAGCGGCCGGCTGCTCTGATCGGTAGTTTTTTGTGGTTTCTCCGTCAACATCAGGCGAATGCCGGAGGAGTACCCTAACAAACGGGCCACGGACCGCACGCGATCTTTCCTTTCTCTTCCTTGTCCTATCCTCACCGCTTACACTAACTTACACTACACTAACACACATGCCAGGTATCGGTCGGGAACTTAGAGCTTGTCCCAGCTGGGGAGGCGCCCGCTAGTGGGAGATACCTGGTTGGGAAAAACTCCGCTATCGGACGGTAGGTCGGCGCCCGACCTCGCCATCCAGCGGGGAAGACCTCCCGAGCAAAAAATGCACTACACTTACGGGACTAATGACCTTGGCATCTGACGCACCCGGTATCACTAATCAACCATCTATATTAGTTCCTGAATTCCCACGTTTCTTTATAATTTGGAACAAATTCTTCTCGGTCTGTTAAAATTTTAATACTACTTTCGACCTCCATAACTATTGTAATCTCACTGCCGCTAGCTCACAGCACTTCGCAACGGATACCGTAAGCCGGTAAGCCAACGGTCGCTATCAGCATCAGCATCGAGTATGGGCGCGGCGGAGCAAGATGGCGGCCGGCGTGGGCGCGTGCCCCGATAAGCGGACAGCGATACGGCCTTGTCTGAATCAGAGCGACTACTCGCAATCGATAGCGCGGTATCGATGGCCGCCGCTCTCGGCGGAGGTCGCTGTAGCTACGCGCCACACACCGTCACTCCCGACACAGGACGTTCAGCGCATTAATAAGGAGAGGCCTTGCGCCGACTTGGATGGCCGTGGTAGCTACAGCCAGTAGCGTAACGAAGTGAGGGCGGGCAAACCTTTTGCCTCGGGCCCCGTTTATAAAAGTGTATAGCAAACACAAGTAGTAGAAGATACATTTTTCGGGCCGGTAGGCCGTGGTTCAGTTGGCATTGAAAGGCCAAAGGTTTCGTCCACTTCTGAGGTGGACTTCCTCAGTGGCCGCAGGGTCGCGGGCGCAGTGTTCAGGGTGG